ATCTTACCTTATCTCTGATCACTTCTGGCCAGTTAGCTGTCATCTCCGTCCGCCTCTCTCCTCCTTACCTGTACTTGAATTCGGCGAAAGGATAATTTTTAAAATATCAAAAAAATAAAAATTGTACTGAGGCTGATCTTGAGATATCCATTTAAGCATGTTCTAAAGAAATAAGTTTTATTTTACAAATATTTTTTCATAAAAGTCAAATTCGTCCTAGTAAAGTTTATTTACAGAAATAATTCTTTTCTCAAAGTTGTTCAAACTTTATAGTTGAAACAATTGAGATTTCAAAACTTTAGTAAAGTTTCCCTCCCTTGGTATAAAATATATACCCCTGCTACAGTTAAGAACAGCTAAGAACTAAAATCTCCCTCCCTTATTATACAATATATACCCCTGCTACAGCTAAGAACAGCTAAGAACTAAAGACCTCTACACTACTCTAATTGATTTTAGAATATATTGAAACATGAGTTTTGACAGGGCTTGACATATGGGTATTGTTAGGTATATGGGTGGATAGATAGATAGATGAATAGATGTATAGATAGATAGAAAAAAGATAGATAAATATAAAGCGAATATAGATAGATATATGCAATTAGATTATTAAATAGATTGAAAGTTAAATCAATAAATTTCTAGTTTTTAATTTCCAGCTATCTGTAGTGAGTTAAAACTTCTGTAAGTAGTCATCTATTCACCTATTTTCTTCTGAAGTCCTCTTTAGTCTCAAATATACTACTAAAGTCTTCTGTTTTAGTCTCAAATATCCTTCAGTAGCCCCAAAATATAGAATTCCATATCTCCACTAAATTCAGTTTTTTGCTTTTTTTGTGATTTAAAAAGTCATCTCTAGTCTAGTCTCTCGTCCTCTGTTTTGATATCATATCTACTCCTTTGCATCGTTTATATCTATATCTATATCTATATCTATATCGTCTACATCTAAGAACTTTAATATTCTTTATAATGAAGAAGAGGCTGGTAACCCCCCCTTAAGAGGCTTCTAGCCCCCCCCCTGAAGAGGCTTGTATCCCCCCTGAAGAGGCTTGTAGCCCCCCTGAAGAGGTTTGTAGCNAAATATTCAGAATAGGTTATTGTATACGCGGTAATTGTACATCAGAAAAATACTTCATATACAAATGGAGTACTCGTCTGCAAAGCATGTATAATCATATGGTAGGGCGAACCGCGTCAGTTATATCTCCCTTCTATTCCTTACTCCCTGGTCTACAAGCTAGAAATGTGAACAAATCAGAGAAAAATCATAACAACGGATAGTACTGCATTGTTAATCGCAAAACCGGTTAAATCTCGACAACAAAGAAAAAACAAATAGGAAGAGAAGAAAAGAGATAAGAGAACAGAAGAGTAGAGAAGATAAGAAAAGAAAAGAGAAGGAAAGAAAAGAGATGAAAAAATAGAAGAAAAAATAAAAAAGAATAAAGAAGAGAAGAAAGAGAAGAAAAGAAAATATAAGAAAAGAGTAGAAAATAGAAGAGAAGAGAAAAAATAGAAGAGAAAGAAGAAAAATAGATTGCATGAAAGAGAGAGCTTGCATTTTACAGACGTTTTATCATGAAAATATGTTTAAGAATACAAATTATAAAATTAACTTTATTGTAAAATTGATATTTTTGAAAAAAAAAGTTGTCCTAACTGTTTAGCGTACATTTTTTTTGATCATTTAAAGATTTTTGATCATTTGATATTCTGATATTCTGATATTTTTGCGTCAAAAATATCTTACATTACTTGATAAACTTTAAAAGTATGTAGGCCGCCAAATATACCATAATATTAGCAAATACGAAAATCTTCATTTAAAGGGACTGTAAGCGTAAATTCAGGTGACCCTCAAAAATAGCATTGCTCGATTTATAACAGTGCCATTAAAAATTTCTACATGTTTTCCTACAGTGAAAATGCGAAAGTCACTTTTGTAGAGAACACACAATTGAATATAATCAGTTTTCAAAATTATCAACATTGATATCTAGTTCATACTTGTACTTGGTACCGTTGTGAATTTAATCTTTGCATGGAGGATCACTTGAAATTACGCTTACAGACTACAGTCCCTTTAAGCACTTCATGTAAGATAAGAGAGTGTACAAAAGATAGTGTATGAAAGGATAGACGGATAGATATATACCCCCCCCTCCTCCTTTTCATGAAGAAAAAAAAATATTAAGATCAGAAATGTTTTAACATTTCGTTAAAAATACAAACATCTATTAAAAATATTGAATCTACAAAATGAAAATTTTATAAAATTTAAAATCTACAAATATGATCCCCCCCTCTGCCTGCCTGTATAGTTTGATGGTCTGAAACTCATCACAATTCAATCAACAAATGATTTATCAAAATGATTGAGAGTCTTTATACAATATACACACCAGCGCACATACAGACAACCCACACTCACACACTCAAATGTACACAATTGTACAAATGGGACCCAAAGGTGACTTCCCAAGTGACAATTTCCCAAGTGGCAACTTCCCTTATGTACAATTCCCCGAAAGGCAGCTTCCAAAAGGTTAGGTTAGGCCTTCTGGTGGGCCGAGCACTGCAGCTAGAACAGGCTAGGGGGCCGAATGCTGTGGCTAGAACAGATTTGAGAAAATTGCCACTTGGGAGATTGAACATTTGGGAAGTTGGCACTTGGGAAAATACCCTTTGGGAAGTTGCCTCTTGGGAAAATACCCTTGGGAAGTACTTAACATCAACAAATATACACACGTACAATGAGACTTATAGAATTGTGGAATAGTAATACGAAAATTAAGGAAAAGGAATTGAGTCTTTGCCACAACCTCAAATTTGCTATTCCCGATATCTTTGCAACCAAATGTTGGAAACCTTTGATATTTCAAACTATGAACTATGTTAGATCAAAGAATATAAGTTTGAAATATCAAAGGTATACGACATTGGGTTGAAATGATATAGGCACTATAGTTTCAGTAGAAGTAAATATTTCCATTTAATGATATCGCCGATTAAAGGATTAATATCTCTGATTGGATAACAAGATAGATAGAAAGATAGATGTTACCGCTATTTAATTTCTATTGGTTCACACTAGACAACTAACACATGACTGAACCCTGATTGGATCAGGCGCTAATGGACTCAGCATACTAGAGTGTAGGGATTAGAAAATCTGATACAATTCCTTTGTGTATTTGATATTGCTGGCAAGCAAAAAGATTTATTACTGCAGTATGGTTTAAAAATCGCTTATAAAGTGCACATTCATTTAACAGAAGGATCAGGTCAAATGAATTGAGTCTTTGCCTCAAACTCTGATTTACTAATCTCTATATCGTTCCTACCTATTATTCTTAAAGACCTTAGAAATGTTTTACTATGAGTTCTGTTAGATCAAATAGTTTTAGTTTTAAATATCAAAAGTTTGCACTATTAAATTATGTGGATTTGAGAAGTTGAGTTTGAGACAAATGATCAATTCCTTAATAACTGGTCCAACCTTGTGACCTCGTGGCTCCTCAAGTTATGATTTAAGGCATAAGTATTAAAAAAAGAACATGTTTTGAAATTCAAACATTTTGGTCTTCTCCGTGAGCTTTTTAATAAGAGGATTTTAATCTTACTTAAACTTAACTTTAGTTAAACGTATTTCTAAAATCACAACTTGAGTCTTAAAGTCGTCTTCGGATTCCATAGTTTTATGATTAAAACTGTATTAAATCAAATATATATATATATATATACATAATCCTTTCATAACAAAAAAATTCTTCTGAGTTAGCAATTTGTATGCTACAATTATTTCTACTACAGGGAGAACCAAAAAACTATGGAATAGGACCAGCAATGTATTTGATGATGCTATAAAGCAAATAGATCTACTTATTTAATTATTTATTACTTATAAACTGATAATAAGTGTAACTTAAATATTTCCTCTGTCTCATCAACTCATGTCCATTGAAGTATTTCAAGTCATAACTTGAGTCTAAATTATAAAAATTCTAGAGTTTTCTGGTTCTTACTGCACGTATCTTGAAAAACAGACTACTATATGTATAAGGGTAACCGTAAGACTGTAGAAAGACTTAGGAAAGTAAATTTTTTCTATCTTCAGCGATATTTTACATTGAAACGAAGGGAAAAAAGACAAAAAATAATAAATTAGAAGTCGGGAGGTGAAATGATGACAATTTAACCATATTTTTCTACCATAGAAATGATAAAATAATTAAATGAATAAATGAATACAAACATATATAATACCATTATTTTATTATAAAAGATGAGTCAAAATTTAAACAATATATGATATATAAGCAGTTTGTATATTCATATTTTTACACTTTTTTGGTCGCAACAAACATTAAATATATAATTTTATAGTTTTCTTTCACTGGATAATTTTTCATAGTTTTAGTAAAAATTCGCATAACTTTTAGAATTCCCGATCTTGTTAAATTACTGATGACAAGATGAATAAAAATCCGTTGAAGACGATTATCTCAAGAAAAAGATGACTGGTTAAAGATGGCAAGATGGCGGTGCATGTTGTCAAGATGGCGGGAAAATTGACGTCAAATTGGCGGGAACTGTGCGGAAATCCGCGAACTTGTCACATCTATCTTTCCTCAGCTCTGATCAGATTGACAGGAGACAAAAACTAGTTTGGCAATACATGACCCCGACATTCCGCCCTCCTGTCCCAAGCCTAGATATCCTTAAATTAAAGGACGCTTTAAAAACTTTAAGTTTTTCCCGTCATTCCCATGTATCAGTTACTGATAGCTGAGATCTTGTTGTAATTAACGAATTCTTGAAAATAGATTAGGTTTCCTGCGGACCTATCAGTTTCTATCATCATTAATTAGCTCAAGCTTACAGGGATAGATAGATAGACAGATAAGACAGGATGATAGATGGATAGATCAATCTTGACATCCGACACCAGCATCATCTTCAAATGAATTTACTGAAATTCAACTTCTGATAGATCATTCCCCGCATTTCTTTATCGCTCACGGAATTTTTCAAATTAACTAAGATTTATCACTTGACAAGTTCAGTTCTAATCCTGCCTGGAGATTATTAGATCTGTTTAAGCTCAGGAGACACTTCTCCGGTAGTAGATTAACTCCGGGAGAAAATACTCCGGGATTGCACTTGAAGTGAGTGTAGGTCCATACACTCTTTTCCTACAGTTCAAATTTCTTGGTTTAATCCCCCTCCTGTATTCCCCTAGTTGCAGAGTAAACTTCATATTCTCACTTCTCCTGGAAACTAGTTATCTTGAAAAATTGTTGTTGGAGGAGGGGGGGGGGGGGGGGGTGAACCCCTCATAGATTTTGGGATCCACCCTTTTTCCTTAAAGTCTGGGACCTGTTTCATTTCCTGTCAGCTCTTGGTAACTATTCCTGTTATCCTTTGGACCTGGTGGAGCCCCTGAACACTGCCACGCCTCCTGCCCCGCCCCTGGACTCGGCACCAACCCTCCTGTCAGCGTATATCCCCCGCCCCGGCCTCTAGCAATTCATTTTGTTCCGACATCGTTAGGAAGATTAATGGGGTCTTGCCTGCCACGCGGCTGCCACCACGTGATTAATTGATCCTTGGTTTCCAGCCAGCACACTCATATATCAAAATACAGAGAGAGAGAGAGAGGGAACCCACTCCCCCCCCCATCCTGCTCCTTCTAGACCCAGCTCTACACAAACCAAACCTAATGGATTGTGTAATTTGGACCAGGGAGGAGGGATGGAGAAACAACAAATTAACTCTATGTAGTTCTTGTGGCCATCTTTCATTCTTCACGTCAGGGGAAAAAATGGGGGCCTTGTAGGTAGGCTTTATATAAGGTTCTCAGGGTTGAACAGTACTTGTTTGGTTTTTTTGGAAATGATTGTTTGGTGTTCAAAAACATCAGCCTTGTTTGGTGTGCAAGAACAGGTTTGTTTGGGGCTAAATCAGCTTTGTTTGGTGGGAAGAATGATACTTGTTTGATGTGAAAATCCAAACTTGTTTGGTGACTTGGGCTAAACACAAAAAGGATTATGATTGGAGTTAGCAGAGGAAGAGGGGGGGGGGGGGAGATTTTCCTCGTTTGTTGTGTACGATTAATAATAGATTAGGTTGCAGAGCAGCAGAGATCCAGGTCTGCTGTAATGATTAATGTAGAGTTGGATATAATGCTATTCTTGTGTTTTGTTCACTGCTAGAGCTCCTCTCCCTCAGCCATTTTTCATTTTGGATGATCATCGGCTGGCCATATATCAAATTTAAGTTACATCTGAGATGATTTATCACGAAGGAGAAGGGAAGGGGGGTTTGTGTGCTGGGTATATGTGGCAGGGCGAGGGTGACAGGTTTGATGAACGACTCTGCACAATAGGATAGAGCAATGAATTTGCTCCGCACGACATTTAGATCTCGTGATGTCACGATACACAATGTATCAGGCTGTCTCTGGCTGTCTAACTGTCAGGTTTGACAAGTTTCATGCTGTTTTTATCCCTGGGTCTCCCACTAGTGTTATTTTACACTTTTCCAGTTGTGTTATGATCTTATCCGTCTCCCCCTTGATGGATAGATAGATAGAGGAGTAGACCCAGTTTTTGCAGAGATATTATCAACACTCTAGTTTCATCCCCCCGGTCCAACTTATTTGTTCAACTTGTGTCAACACTAGATTAACACTTCACAGAGCACATTAATCTCAGGATTAACCATTATATATATATCCCCCCTGTATTCCTGTAATCCATCATGATAAAAGATTACAACCTAGCTCCATACAAACTGTACAGGGAGAGAGGGTTGTGTGCTCCTAAGGATGAAAGATAGGGAGAGAGTCCTCCTCCCATTGAGTGCTGTAGTCCAGGAGGACCTCCAGGTAGTCCTAGTCCAGAGAGAGAGGGAGGAAGGGGACTAGGATATCCAGGTTTTCCATAGGGATTATATCTAGAAGCAGCAAGGGACAAGGCACTGGGGTATGGTCCCCGTAGACTGGCTGCTGCTCCAGCCCCAGCAAACAAGGAGCTGTATGCAGCTATTGCTGGATTAAGGGATGGGGTTGAAGCTAGATGAGACTCTGACACTGACAAGCTAGTGTGGGTTTTCAAGTGGATTAACAGCTCCTCAGCATTAGTATACCTCTTACCACAATACTCTCTTCCATTCATCCAATTACAAATATAAGGACCTCCTGGTCCCAGTGAGGCACTGGTAGGGGAGGGTAGAGATGTTGGAGGCATGCTTGACATGCCTCCTGGAGCGTACATCTTGTATGCCTCCAGTAGCTCCAGGTAGCCTGGAGGTAGGCCACCAGTAGTGGTTAGACGGGCTAGATAAGCATTATAATTAGCTGTTGGGCAGGATGGATCACGACAAAATGGATCTCTACAGACTCCAGGGTGTCCCATAGATGAAGGATATCCTGGTAGTCCTTGAGGTCGGAAAGCAGGATTAGAAGGATCTAAACTACCCAACCTTCCTAGTCCTCCGTCCTTCGCATGTCCAGCTAGTACCTCTAGCCCACTCTGAATAACTGGGGAGGTCCCACTGCAGGAGGAGGACGGGGTAGAGGTCTTAGAGGACGATTCTTTGGTTCCATCTCGTCCTGCTGTCAGCTGATGAGGACTAGATGCTGACGGGGTTTTGGGTGAATTGACCCGGACCTTGTCATCACTGGCGTAGGGTTTAAAGGAGACAGGTTTAGAATCACTCACATTAATGCTTGGGCTCACATCTCCTCTTTTCTTCTCATCCTTTGGTTTCAACTTCTCTGTGGTTGAAAGTATCTTGGAGGACACATTATCTGCTCCTATCTGACTACAGGTCTGCGCCAACAACTGTAGAGGAGACTTCTCATTCTTTGATTCAGGCTGAAAAAAATATCATTTAAATTAATTTTAAAAAAGATAATTACAGCTTGCATGCAATACATTTGGCTGTCAACGATAAAAAGTGAAATTAATGTTCTGCTGAATGATGAATGCTCCAGTCATTAAACTGATAGTTGAGAAAAATGGGAGTATTTATTTTGCAAATAATAATTCAATATGTCAGCGCTTCAGCCTGATTTATCGACCGACTAAGTCATCAATTCGTTTTAATGTTATCGACCAGCAATTTATAATGTCATTTATTACAGTCAGAAAAAGCTAATTTATGACTTGGAAAAAGGGGGGGGGCGCAATCTAGATTACAAATTATTTTTTGACAAATTACAAAATGAGCAAAAAACTTGCAAGGAATTAGTAATCAAATAAATGAACCCTAAAACTTAGATATGAGACACAAAGCAGACCCAGTTTTGATCTAGTACAGGAAAAAAAACTTACCGAAGTTGGTAGTGGGGCTAAGTACTCTGGGGTGATGTATCTATCTCCCAGAGTAAGTCCAGAACTCATCCTTAATCTCTCCTCTTCCAGGACAGTCATGTGAACAAGGATTTCAATGATTTCTTATTAAATTAACACTTTTCTTGAATTTGACGGATCTTTTCCCACTGGTGGATATTGGCAAACTGACAGAAGCAGTGGCGGACGGGTAGGTGCGGGGTCCCCGGGCGTGACAGTACGGCGGATCTACTATACTTCTCCCTCAAGCTGTGCCGTGACAGGAAGACCATGAAACCTGTTAATCATAACGTCCAATTATTTAGCCCGCCTGTCACTCAACCAGCCATTGTTACTTCAAACATTAATCCACATTATTTGTTTTGATCAAATCCGCGAAATTCTTGCGAAAATCCGCTAAATTGGAACAAAATGGCGGCTATAAGGCGACCCCTGCAGGGAAAGGCTGCAGCTCATCCATCAACAGGCTTTCAGAGAGTGTCAGGGGCTGGCAGCTCACAATATGTCGGGCCGGGACTAACATAAATCAGTAGGTCTTGACATATCCTTGTCCGACCTGTCACAGTCAGTCAAAATAACAAATCCTTCCCCTCGCACCATTCACTAACTTTCTAACTTACTATTTACTTCATACATAGGCGCAACTTGAAGAGGGGGGGGGGCAACTAGTACCCCCCCCGCTCTAGAATGCTTAAACATGAACAGGACAAATAATAAAAATAAAAAATTACATCTTCAAGGATAGAATTATAAGAAAATTTCAAAAATTATAACTTGAGGAAATTTTAAACAAAGCTAATCTTTCATCTTAATTTAAAGCTAGAGTACGTAATTGGCAAGCTATTATAGTAACCTAATAACTCTTTTGCCTGTTTTAATTATCCAATCTTGAAACAATTCATTGCAATTAAAAAACATTTTCTCAATCACAGGCTTCAACATTCAACAATTATCATTTCACTTTTAATATCTCTTGTTTAAACATTTTTGTTAAACTTTATAAAATGATTATATTTACAGATTACATTACGTTGGAAAAACAAACTCTATTAAAGGGAGTGTTCGCGAAAAATGAAAGGGGGTATAGGCTTAATGCGATAATCAAATTGACCCCCCCCCCCAGCGGGAATAGGGTTAAAAAAAAAGTAATTGATTTTCTATTTCCTATATCTATGCAATCCAATTTCATAGATCTTTGAATCGAAAAACATAAATATGTTTTATGTTTTTTTCTAAATGTTTGAGACAAATATATATATATTTGATTTGATATTTCAAACTATATATTCTGTTAGATCAAATAATCTAAGATTGAAATATCTAAGATTTACACCGTCAGGTGGCGAAAATATAGGGATTAGAGACCATTTTGAGTTTTCGGGAAAATCTCAAATCCTTGACAGATATTTGAAATTGTTCCTGATGAAAGAGTTCCCAGAATGTTTGTTGATAAAAAGATGCATTATCTTAAGAAACAGTAGATACTGTAAGAAGCAGAAAACTCTTGACTTATTGGTATATATTAGTACAAGGTGTTATGAAGAGAGCGGATGGAAAATTGACCTCGTGGTTCACCCTGCCTTCCCGTTCATAGGAGAACTAGAACAATACAGAGGGATACAGGGGGATACAGGGGGATACAGAGGGATACAGGGAGATACAGGGGGATACAGAACAGTATAGGTGGATGTAAGGAGGATACAGTGGAATGGTTACATATGTTTCTATCCATCTATCTAAAGCACTATCAGACTGTTCTATATTATATAAATCTACATGAATATTGTATATTTACATGATTTGTCTGGGTTCCTGGAAATCTAAAATTGTATCTATATCTATTCTTAGAAATATCTCCTTCTACACTTCTCTAATTCTAGATTTTATTCTTTATCCAGGCTTTTCAGGCAGGCATTCAGGCAGACTCAAATATACCTAGATTATGCACATCTGCCCGTTTTTAGACTTGATTAGACACTTGCAGGCTGCTCACAAAATTCTAGGCCAGGAGAAAAAAATAACAAGATTATTTAATAATAATATTATGAAGAACAAATAACTAAAATCTATTTGCGTCCGTAGAACTAGACAGAAAAGCAAGCACCAATGTCGAAATAAAATTACAGTTACGACTTGGTGACCTCGGTTCTCCTCTGGTTTTAGTTTCTTGCCAAGGATGAGAAAGAAAAATAATTTAAAATCTATTTAAATAAATAGCTTTTAAAAAAATTTATTTTATAATCCTAAGTGTGTTTATATTTATTCGGTGTATGTATTATATTTCAATATTACTCATTTTTAAAACATTTTACTATTATAAGTTTTATGTGTTAATATAATATCTGTTTTAAAGTCAATTTCAAGTTTTTTTTCTTTACTGAACAGGAAAGTCGGTTTATATTAATTTCTTTTCTTTTTTTTGTGCAGGAATTTTGCTAACTTATTTATTTTTTGTTTTTCTTGTTTTTCTTGTCCACCCAGTGCTGGGTGTAATTGGCGAGGAACTGGACAGTGCATATATACTTACAGGCGTCAGACTGCCTCTTGCTAATTTTTGGAACAAATCTGAAGAAAATAAAATCAAAAAAAAGGATATTTCCGGATGAAAAAAATGATAAAAATCTAATTGGAAAAAAAGAAAACCAGTGCCCCAGGATTTGTAGAAAAAAACAGGGGAAATATAGAAAAAAATGTTTTAAGAGAAAAAGAGCAAGAGGAACAAGAACAAAAGTAACAAATATAAGTGACAAAAATTATAAGAAACCAGAAAAAAGTAACAAAGAGAAAAAAATAAAAATAAATTATCTATATATCCATAATGCTATCTATCTATCAATCTATTTATCTGCCCATCTATCTATCTATCTATCTATCCATATATCTATCTATCAATCTATTTATCTGCCCATCTATCTATCTATCTATCCATATATCTATCTATCTTTCTATCTATCTATCCATATATCTATCTATCTATCTATCCATATATCTATCTATCTAGCTGTTTAAATATCCATCCATAATTCTATTTAATTATCAATATATCTTTCATCTATCCAAATTTCCATCCATCTTTCTAGTTATCATTCTATCTATCTATCCACCTATATATCTATCCATATATCTAAAGATCTATCTATCTTTCTATCTATCTATTCATTTATCTATCTATCTATCTATCTATCTATCTATCTATTTATCTATCTATCTATCTATCTATCTATCTATCTATCTATCTATCTATCTATCTATCTATCTATCTATCTATCTATCTATCTATCTATCTATCTATCTATCTATCTATCTATCTATCTATCTATCTATCTATCTATCTATCTATCTATCTATCTATCTATCTATCTATCTATCTATCTATCTATCTATCTATCTATCTATCTATCTATCTATCTATCTATCTATCTATCTATCTATCTATCTATCTATCTATCTATCTATCTATCTATCTATCTATCTATCTATCTATCTATCTATCTATCTATCTATCTATCTATCTATCTATCTATCTATCTATCTATCTATCTATCTATCTATCTATCTATCTATCTATCTATCTATCTATCTATCTATCTATCTATCTATCTATCTATCTATCTATCTATCTATCTATCTATCTATCTATCTATCTATCTATCTATCTATCTATCTATCTATCTATCTATCTATCTATCTATCTATCTATCTATCTATCTATCTATCTATCTATCTATCTATCTATCTATCTATCTATCTATCTATCTATCTATCTATCTATCTATCTATCTATCTATCTATCTATCTATCTATCTATCTATCTATCTATCTATCTATCTATCTATCTATCTATCTATCTATCTATCTATCTATCTATCTATCTATCTATCTATCTATCTATCTATCTATCTATCTATCTATCTATCTATCTATCTATCTATCTATCTATCTATCTATCTATCTATCTATCTATCTATCTATCTATCTATCTATCTATCTATCTATCTATCTATCTATCTATCTATCTATCTATCTATCTATCTATCTATCTATCTATCTATCTATCTATCTATCTATCTATCTATCTATCTATCTATCTATCTATCTATCTATCTATCTATCTATCTATCTATCTATCTATCTATCTATCTATCTATCTATCTATCNAACTGTCTATATATATATCTAATTGTCTATATATTTATTTATCTATCTCTATATTTAACTATCTGTCAATATATATCTATTTGTCTGTATATTTATATATCTATCTATATATTTAACTATCTGTCTATATATTTATATATTTATCTATATATTTAACTATCTGTCTATATAATTATCTAACTGTCTATGTATATATCTAATTGTCTATATATTTATATATCTATCTATATTTGCATTTGCAATGAGAACGGACTATCTATAGTCCCTTTTAATAAAGCATGTGCACTGAAAACGGACTATCTATAGTCCCTTTTAATGAGACATGTGCATTGAAAACGGACTTTCTATAGTCCCTTTTAATAAGGCATGTGCACTGAAAACGGACTATCTATAGTCCCTTTAAATATGGCATGTGCACTGAAAACGGGATATCTTAAGTCCCGTTTAATATGGCATGTGCACTGAAAACGGACTATCTATAGACCCTTTAATATGGCATGTGCACTGAAAACAGGCTATCTATAGTCCCTTTTAATATGGCATGTGCACTGAAAACGGACTATCTATAGTCCCTTTTAATATGGTTTGTGCAATGAAAACGGACTATCTATAGTCCTTTTCATTGTGGCATGTGCTCTGAAAATAGGCTATCTATAGTCCATTTTAATATGGCATGTGCACCGAAAACGGACTATCTATTGTCCTTTTCATTGTGGCATGTGCACTGAAAACAGACTATCTATAGTCCCTTTTAATATGGTTTGTGCAATGAAAACGGACTATCTATAGTCCTTTTCATTGTGGCATGAGCTCTGAAAACAGGCTATCTATAGTCCCTTTTAATGTAGTTTGTGCAATGAAAACGGACTATCTATAGTCCTTTTAATATGGTTTGTGCAATGAAAACGGACTATCTATAGTCCTTTTTAATATGGCATGTGCACTGAAAACGGGCTATCTATAGTCCCTTTTAATACGGCATGTGCACTGAAAACGGGCTATCTATTTCAAACTGAAATATATAACGAGTGTGTAGTGTCGTATATTGGATATATTATACATACTATATTTACCTTTTTTTCTACAAAGAAAGAATGTATAATGTGTGTGTGCATAATGTATATATATATAAATATATATTATACACTATAAACTGTGAACTTGTATAATATATTATGAATAGGGTAATAATATACAATTTATTGCTACATTACACTAAACAGAGGAACACATAAAACATGGATAGATAGATAGATAGATAAATAAATAGATGGATGGAATTATATATAAAAATACACAGAAACAGATAGAAAG